TGAAAGTCAAATTTTCTCCTTGATCCATGTGCTGCAGAATGGATGCTGGGTAAGCAGGGATGACAACATTAATCTCCTTGCACATCTCCATCAGAGCCCTTGTGTGATCAGGTGCATTGTCAACGAGCAGTAATATTTTGAAAAGAATCTTTTTTTTCTGAGCAGTAGGTCTCAACAGTGGGCTTAAAATATTCAGTAAACCATGTTGTAAACAGTTGTGCTGTCATCCAGGCTTTGTTGCTCCATTTATAGAGCGTAGGCAGAGTAGATACAGCATAACTCTTAAGGGCCCTAGGATTTTCGAAATGGTAAGTAAGCACTGGCTTCAAAACAAAGGCATAAGCTGCATTAGCCCCTAACCAGAGTGTCAGTCTGTCCTTTGAAGCTTTGAAGCCAGGCATTGACTTCTCTCTACCTATGAAAGTCCAAGATGGCATCTTTTTCCAATATACGACTGTTTTGTTTACACTGAAAATCTATTGTTTAGTGTAGCCACCTTCATCAACTATCTTAGCTAGATCTTCTGGATTACATGCTGCAGCTTCTATATCACTACTTGCTGCTTCAACTTACAGTTTTATGTTACAGAAGCAGCTTCTTTCCTCAAACCTCATGAACCAACTTCTGCTAGCTTCAAACTTTTCTTTCTCAGCTCCTCACTTCTCTCAGCCTTCACAGAATTGAAGAGAGTTAGGGCCTTGGACTGGATTAGGTTTTGGCTTAAGGGAATGTTGTGACTGGTTTGATCTTCTATCCAGACCACTAAACCTTTCTCAGCAATAGGCTGCTTCACTTTCTTATCATTTGTGTTCACTGGAGTAGCATTTTTAATTTCCTTCAAGAACTCTTCCTTTGCATTCACAACTTGGCTGTTCGGCACAAGAGGCCTAGCTTTTGGCCTATCTCAGCTTTCGACATGCCTTCCTCACTAAGCTTCATTATTTCTGGCTTTTGATTTAAAGTGAGAGACGTGTGACTCTTCCTTTCACTTGAACACTTAGAGGCCATTAAACCAAAACCCACTGCCATCGAGTTGATTCTGACTCATAGTGACCCTATAGGACAGAGCAGAACGGCCCCATAGGGTTTCCAAGGAGTGCCTGGTGGATTCGAACTGCCGACCTTTTGGTTAGCAGCCAAACTCTTAACCACAATGCCACCAGGGTTTCCTAGAGGCTACTGTAGGATTATTAATTGGCCTAATTTCAATATTGTCCTGTCTCAGGGAATAGGGAGGCATGAAGAGAGGGAGAGAGACGGGAATGGCAGATCGGTGGAGCAGTCAGAACACGTAACATTTATTAATTAAGTTCACCATCTTATATGAGCGTGGTACGCGGCACCCCATAATTACAATACAGACAAAGATCGTTGATCACAGACCACCATAACAGACATAATAATAATGTAAAAGTTTGAAATATTGTTGAGAATTACCAAAATGTGAAACAGAGACACGAAGTCAGCACATGCTGTTGGAAAAATGGCGTCAACTGACTTGCTTGACACAGGATTTTCACAAACCTTCAATTTTTTAAAAACGCAGTATCTGCACAGTGCAATAAAGCAAAGCACAATAAAACAAGGTATGTCTGTATCTAGTATCTATAAAGAACTCTTAAAGCTCAATTCTCAAATGTCAACAGTAAAACAACAAATAATCCAATTAGACTTGAACAGATATTTCTCTGAAAAGAAAAAACAGAGCAAATAAGCACATGAAAAGATGTTCAGCATCATTAGTCATTAGGGAAATGCCAATTAAACCACAAAGAGGTATCATTAAATATCTATCAGAATTGTAATTATAAAAACAACAGTGACAATATCAAATACTGATAAGGATGCAGAGAACCTGGAACACCTTTATACAATGCTGGTGGTAATGTAAAATAGTACAGATACTCTGGTAAACAGTTTAGCAGTTTATAAAAAAAAAACAAAACTAAACATGCAACTATCACATGACCCAGCAATTACATTTATTCCAGAAGAATGAAAACTTATGTTCACACAAAAACCCGTACGCAAATGTTCACCGAAGCTTTACACGTAACAACCAAAAATTGGAAACAACCCATGAATGTTTACACAAACTGTGGTATATCCATTCCCTGGAATACTATACAGAAATAAAAAGTTATGAACTAATCATGATAGCAAAAAGATGGAAACAACCTAGGTGCCCATCAATGGACAGATGGATAAACAAATTATGGTATATTCACACAATGGAATACTATACAACGATAAAGAACAACAATGAATCCGTGAAACACCTTAAAACACAGGAATCTGGAAGGCATGCAGACTGAATTTAGTCAGTCACAAAAGGACAAATATTGTATAAAACCACTATTATAAGAACTCAAGAAAAGGTTTAAACACAGAAGAAAACATTCTTTGACGGTTACAAGGGTGGGGAGGGAGGGAGAGGGTTATTCACTAAGTAGACAGTAGACAAGAATTATCTTAGGTGAAGGGAAGGACAGCACACACTACATGGAAAGTCAGCACAACTGGACTAAATCAAAGCTAAGAAGTTTCCTGAATACAACCAAACACTTTGAGAGACAGAGTAGGAGGGATGGAGGTCTGGGGACCATGCTTTCAGGGGACATCTAGGTCAACTGGCATAACAAAGGTTTTTAAGAAAATGTTCTGCATCCTACTTTGGTGAGTGGCGTCTGGGGTCTTAAAAGCTAGTGAGCAGCCATCTAAGATTCATCAATTGGTCCCAACCCACATGGAGTAAAGGTGAATGAAGAACACCAAAGTCGCAAGGAAAGCATTAGGCCAAGAGACAGAAAGGGCCAATAAACCGGAGACTGCAACAGCCTGAGAGAAGAAGAACTAGATGGTGCCCATCTACCATCAATGACTGCCCTGATGGGGAACACAACAAGAGTCCCTGCTGGAGCAGGAGAAAAGTGGAGTGCAGAACTCAAATTCTAGTGAAAAGACCAGAATTAATGCTCTGAGACTAGAGGAACCCCAGAGAGCATGGTCCCCGGCCTCTCTGTCAACCCAGCAGTAAAACTATTCCCGAGGCCAACTCTTCAGTCAAAGATTAGACTGGACTATGGGACATAAAATGATACTCATGAAGAGTATGCTTCTCAACTCAAGTAGATACATGAGACTGAATGAGCAGCTCCTGTCCGGAGGTGAGAAGAGAAGGCAGAGAGGGTCAGGAGCTGGTTGAATGGACACGGAAAATCAGGGGTGGAAAGGAAGAATGTGCTGTCACAGTATAGGGAGAGCAATTAGGGTCACATAACAATGTATGTATAAACTTCTGTATGAGAGACTAACTTGGATTGTAAACTTTCATTTAAAGTACAACAAAATAAAATTTTAAAAAAAGTTATTAACTATTGATACACGCAACAACTGAGACAAATGTCCACTTAGCTATGCTGAGTAAAAAAAGCCAACCCCATAAGATCATATACTGTGTAATTCCATTTATATAACATTCTTAAAATAGCAAAATTATAGAAATAAAGAAAATATAAGTGGTTGCCAGGGGATGGGGCAGGGTAGGAGGGAGTTGGTTGAGGCTATGAAAGGGTAACAAAACGGAGCCTGTGGTAATGGAACTGTTCTGTAACTTGACTATTGTCATGGTTTGAATTATGTCCCCCCAAAAATGTGTGTATCAGTTTGGCTGGACCATGATTCCCAGAATTGTGTGGTTGGCCTCCATTTTGTGATTGTAATTTTATGTTAAACAGGCTTAGGGTGGGATTGTAACACCACCCTTACCCAGGTCACATTGCTGATCCAACGTAAACGGAGTTTCCCTGGGGTGTGGCCTGCACCACCTTTTCTCTCTCAAGAGATAAAAGGAAAGGGAAGCAAGCAGAGAATTGGGGACCTCATACCATCAAGAAAGCAGTGCTGGGAGCAGAGCACGTCCTTTGGACCTGTGGTTCCTGCGCAGAGAAGCTCCTCATCCAGGGGAAGATTGACAAGAACCTTTCACCAGAGCCCACAGAGAAAAGAAAGCCTTCCCCTCGAGCTGACACCCTGAATTTGGACTTCCAGCCTACTAGACTGTGAGAGAATAACCTTTCTCTTTGTTAAAGCCATCCACTTGTGGTATTTCTGTTAGAGCAGCACTAGATGACTAAGACGATAGGATAAAATTACATAGAACTAAATAAACACATACATGAATAGTACAACTAAGACTGGGGAAATGTGAATTAAGATTGGTGGATTTTATTAATGTTAATATCCTAGTTGTAATATAGTACTTTAGTTTTGCAAGATATTACCATTGCAGGAAATGGCATAAAAATACACAGTATCTCTCTGTATTATTTCTTACAACAGCATGTGAATCTACAATTATCTCAAAATAAAAAGCTTAATTAAAAAAAAAAACTAACAATTAAAGAAAAAATGATGCAATATATTATTGTAAAAGTCTAGTAGAGTATGATTTATGAAATCCGTGTAAGACTAGCAATTCCAATATAAGAAGATCAGATTAATAAAGTTAAAACAATTATAGTACTTAAAATGTTTCTTAATTAGAAGAACCATGCCCTATAAAACACCTACAATTTATATTAATACATTATTTATAATCTTTAAGCTTTTTCTTAATTTTCTACTGTAGAACAAAGAACTTGATTTAGCCTTGTCTCTGGTTCTTGAAAATAGCCCTTGGAAGTTCTTGAACAATCAAGGTGTCTATGATTTTCTGAAATAGCCAGGCAACACTTAAACACAGGCAAATGAGCAGGGGCTACACTGGCCCCACCATGGCAGCAAATCTCAGGAAGGGAGCGGATCATGATGGAATCAATCATGCATATTCATTGATTCTACTGATTATGCATATGCAATGAGGCACCAATCACGACTAGGCATTTAGGTCCCCATCATGCATATGCATTATTATATGAGGCCCTGAACACAGAAGCAGTTGGGGCTTCCTGGATTGGCAAGAATATTCATGCACAAAGAGGGTGGCACGTCTCTGGGGTCCCAGATCTTGCCTGATGCATCTCTTCACTCGTCCAGAGGTGTAACTAGGGCATGGCAGGTATTGCAGGTATTCGTCCGGCCCTGGGCGTGTGGCACCACCGAGCAGTTTCTATTAACTAGGTACAGTCAGTGGTGTATTTACGGAAAATGGCACCTCTGGCAAGCATTGAAATTGAGCCCTGTCCAAACATCTGACACATGACTTTTTTAGATAACTTTAGATAACTCTTTTAGATAACTTTACAATAATATCTGCTCAAAAATACAAGTCAAGCTCGTTAATCTTTTGATTAACACATCATGCTTGAGGAAGTACATTGGGCCGTATCCAGTTAACAGAAACTGCTCAATGGTGCCACATGCCCAGGGCCTGTGCAATACCCTAGATACACCAGTGCTCGTGTCCTTTCCGGTTATAATAAATGGGTAACTGTAAGTATTAATAATAGTCTCTACGAATTTTGTGAGCCATTCTAGAGAATTAATGAACCCACAAAGGGCAGTGAGAACCAGCAGAGGCTGGCATCTGCCTATTGGCCGTTGGTTCTGAAGGACAGAATCCTTCTTACCTGTTGACCTAGCCCCAGGTAGCTAGAAAGAAAAAGTGGGGAAAGCTGGTCTGAAGTGCAGGGGAGTTGTGTAGACTCCTGAGCTTATGGCTGGTACCCAATGATCTGGCCCAGAGTGGCCAGGGATGTTTTGTCCTGGCTCAGGGTGGCTGCAGATGAGGTCTGACCCAATTCTGTGTGGTTACGGTCAGAGGGAGAGTCACACATGATGTGGCTGGCAATGAGGATCATGGAGATGTGGGAAGGTGAAATTTGGATCCACTTCCAGGTAGGAACTGGATTCATGCTGATCCTTGTCACAGTTATCAATGAAGGTGGGATTTTCCCACCTTTCACAAAATTCATGGAGACTATTATTTATATTAAGAGTTACCCATTTATTATAACCAGAAAGAATACAAGCAGTGGCATTTCAGTGCAGTTTGTACACCTATATCATATCCCTTTAATTTATCCTACCTTCTTATAACAAATAAATTAAAGCCAAATTGGAGGCTATATCAAATTCCAGCAAAATATGAATGAATCTAAAATTATTAAATATTTCAAATTTAACATCAAGGATACTTTTACCACAGTTATTGTATGAGAATGTAAATTGGTATAATACATTAATACAATCAAATATAGAATTCCATTTTAAGAACTTACAATGAAGCTCAACTCTCAGTTTATTTTAAATTCCTTAATGTAAGTATAATCTTAATTTAATGATGTTTAAATTATAAATTCCAATTCTATAAACATGATGGAAATACTTATCAAGATTAAATTATACCAATAAATCATAATAAAATATATGCCTAAATATCTAAGCCAGATTATATGTGTGTTTGTATACACATAGATATATAAAAGTTAATGGATATATAACTCGTAACCTACCAAAAACAAGTTTTTGACCCAACTTCCATAAAGAATCAAAGGCAGTATCTTTTCATTTAGAATTCATTGACAGAATTCAAAGTCAAATGTAATATATAGACACATAAATATAAAACATGCCATATTAAAATTAATCAACATCATTCTTACATCCACTATTCTGAGGTTTTCCTGTTTCAATTGTGTAGTCTACTTAAAGATGTTGTCGTTACCCATATGTAAGTACTCCCTCTAAGTAGCATGAAATTCTCTCAATGGGATTATTAAAGGAACTACAGTGTTTTATGGTTTGAGCAGAACAAACTATGACATGAGGAAAGAATGCTTCTTGCTGTGTGGTTCTGCCACCACCCACATACAGAGTTTACTATTAAAAAGAAAAAAAAAATAGTAGTGACACTTTACGTTGTATAGCATCTTGGTATCAATGAATCTAAAAAAAAAAAAAAAATTAAATCTCTATATATTATTATCATTTGACAAAACAACAAATAGGGGTACAACAGTGAATTTAAAATTATGTCCAACAGATTTGATTAAGCATTAATGAAAGCAACAGAGTTCATTATAATATTAATTATTTTCATTACAATAAATTTTGTATGAGGAAACAGCAAAATATTATCTATAATTATATATATATATTTAAACATATAAAGTTTCCCACCCATTTTGTTTATTATTAAACAACTTTTTATCATCTATACTGTCTCAGAGAAGGGATTCTTATGTGATTCACTAACAAGGCCCAAAAGAACATTTAGGCAAACACAGCTATCCCATTAATCTACACTTGATAGAATTTCTTCTATGTACCTGTTAAGGTTCTGCTTCAACAACTAATCATTACATATAGTTAATCTATATCTATACTGACCCCAGTTGTAAACGATACAAAAATTCTTACCACTTATGAAAATTAAAACTTGGAAAATCATTCTCTCCAGATCACGTATGGAAAAAGTGGTTGGGATTTACCATTCCAGTTCTTCCTCTATCTTCCTCTCTCTCATCACAGCACATGTTTTTAGCTAGTGTATTTTTTTAATCCTTAAAGTATCTTGGAAGTTGGTGTCAGATCTTTCATCAAAAGTGCATGACAAAAATCTACTTCACAAAAACTGCTTTAGGATAAAAGATACAATTTTAGTAAATTTCGTTCTCATCGCACTATTAAATACGTATGACAACTTCAGTATACCCATGTGTCAAACACATTCCCAAAAGACACACAGGCATCTAGTCTTCCCTCTCCCCATTTCCATGTGGTTGCTGTAGTCTATCAATGAAACTAATATACATAGCAAAAACATACTCTACATTACAAAACAAGTGATCAACTAGCATTAAGAAAATTGTTTAGAACAATGGGGGGACGTAAATTTATTAAGAGTAAAAGAGTAACCTAAACACTATTATACTCAGAAGGGTCTGGGGACCATGGTTTCAGGGGACATCTAGGTCAACTGGCATGACAAAGTTTATTAAGAAAATGTTCTGCATCCTACTTTGGTGAGTGGCGTCTGGGGTCGTAAAAGCTTGCAAGGGGCCATCTAAGATGCATCAATTGGTCCCAACCACCTGGAGTAAAGGAGAATGAAAAACACCAAAGACACAAGGAAAGTATTAGCCCAAGAGACAAAAAAGGCCACATAAACCAGATACTTCATCAGCCTTAGACCAGAAGAATTAGATGGTGCCCGGCTACCACCAATGACCGCCCTGACAGGAAACATAACAGAGTCCCTCAGGGAGCAGGAGAACAGTGGGGTGCAGAACTCAAATCCTAGTAAGGAGACCAAACTTAATGGTCTGACTGAGACTGGAGGAACCCCGGAAAGCATGGCCCCTGGATTCTCTATCAGCCCAGAAATAAAACAGATTCCGAGGCCAACTCTTCAGACAGGGATTGGACTGGACTGTGGGACATAAAGTGATACTCGTGAGGAGTGTGCCTCTTAGCTCAAGTAGATACGTGAGACTAAATGGGCAGCTCCTGTCCCAAGGTGAGATGAGAAGGCAGAGAGGGTCAGGAGCTGGTTGAACGGACATGGGGAATCAGGGGTGCAAAGGAGGAGTATGCTGTCACAGTATGGGGAAAGCAATTACAGTCACATAACAATGTATGTATAAATTTTTGTATGGGAAAAATTAAAAAAAAAAAAAAGAAATAAAATTAAAGGAAAGATGAACCAGACAGCTATCGCATTCCCAGATGGCAACTGTTGTTCCAGCTATACCATGAACAATGAGAGACAATGGTAGGGAATAAGAAGAGAAGGAGCAAAGCGTGAGTACTGGCTACTTCACTGTGCAAGTCAACAGTAGCTATCCCTTAATTTAACATTTTGTCTGCCCAGACAAAAACAAAACACACTCAGGTTATAAAGTACTCTAGGGCAACAGAATAGCTAATGTTTTCAGATGGAATGGTGGAAGATTGGTAGGAATGAAAAACATATTCCTAAAAGCAAAAAAAAACTTTTACATCTTACTTTTCTCTCAAAGTAAGAAGGATTAGGATGAAAAACTAAAGCAAAAATATCTACAAAATACATAATCAACTTTTGTTGATTTGAGAACACACAGGAACAGCAATTCCAGGGTAATAATATCTTGAGAAAGTATAACTTCTACAACTAAACCATCTGCCAGTGAACTCAGTAAATCGAGTCAAAAGAACTTGCTTTTATTATTTTCTGCTTATCTTCTAAATTCTTTATAATTACTTTTACCAACAAGTATACTGAACTTATGACATGATGGTGAAAAGAAATTATCCTGCTTGAAGGTATTTTATTTAAATCAATAGGCTCTGAATGCTCTCCAAACTATGATCAATCCTGACATTTTAAAAAATCATAAAAAAAATTCTGGCCTCTTGTTAAACAAAATTCATGAGTATTAAAAAAGAACAAATTATTTTACACATTACTGATGTCAGTTTTCTATTGCAATAATCACTTTCACTGAGAATTACTATCTATTTAATGCACTTCTTGGGGCTCTTGTGTATCATCGCGTTATTTCTCATTATTTCTCCTAGGAGAACTACAAATCAGCTTACAGTGAAAATGCAGTTCTCTGATTAAGCTAGCATTTTGCAGTTTGAGAGGTGGTACTGGTCCCTCAGCATGCAATGCACAGGACAAGATATAAATATAAGCTATGCATTGTGCTACACTAAGATGCTGTTGTTAGCTGCTGTCAAGTCGATTCCGACTCATGGCGACCCCGTATATGCAGAGTAGAACTGCTCCATAGGATTTTCAAGGCTGTGACCTTTCAGAAGCAGACAACCAAGCCTGTCTGTCTTCCAAGGCATCTTTGGGTAGGTTTGAACTGCCAACCTTTTGGGTAGTAGTCGAGTGTTTAACCATTTGTGCTACCCAGGATCTCCTTCACTAACAGTAGTAACAACAAAGTAACAACATCTGACATGTATTGAGTACTTGGTATGTTCTAGACATAGATGGTATTCTAAATACTTTAAAGTCATAATCTCATTTAATCTTCCCAATCAGCCTCTAAGTTATCAACTGCATTTCACAGATGAGGAAATAAGGCCCAAAGACATTAACTATCCCAACAACATACAACTAAACCCTGTTCCAAACCCCAGTCTTACTCTAAGCCCATGTTCTTATCCACTACAGCCACCTAACAACTAACCTAAAGAGAAATGTTGTACTTGCCATTAAATCTTTTAGAACACTATGGCTATAAAACAACGAATCTCCTTCAAAATAGCTGCCCTTTTATTGTGATACTCAAGACACCTTTCTGTCATTTATAAATTGCTAAAAGGATACTAAAATGCACACATTCTCAAATTCTTATTGTTTAAAAAAAATAGCTTCCCAGTCCTTGAAAGACATTCATTGCATAGGTTGCAAATTCTGCATCAGCTAAGATGTTATAATAACAAATATTCCTCTTTGTAAGCTGTAAAACCACCCAAATTTTTCTTTTTAAATATTATCTATGTATATTCAACTCTTGGACAGAATACGTTGCTCAGTAAAGAGTAATGTTGTGTCAATTATTTAAAACTCTTTACACCTTTGGTAAGCCACATTAACACTGCTAAATAAAATCAGGTATAAAATTTCAAGTTCCTCATTTTTTACTAAATATTTATTTGCAAATTAAACAATTAATTACGTAAAAATGACTCTGATGGAAACACTACATTTTTTGTTTTCTTTAAGTAATTTTATTATAATCCCTACAGCATAAAAACTTAAAATTTATTATATTTGAGGACTCTGAAAATGTAAACAAAGTATAGCTATTATGTTACTAGCTTCATATCCAACTTATACTTATTTAAATGACAAGTTTTCCGAGGAGACCTCTGCAGACAGGAGGCTCTCTATGGCACAACAGAATTTTATAAAACTTGTCATTTCCAACCTCTTTTAAAAACCTAGAAATAGTTTGATGAAATATAAAGCCCTTCTTAACAAAACAGAAGGGACAGTGAATTGTGCTCTAACCTCCCCAATGTGAAAGTACCTTCTTTGTGAATTTTCTCGGATTCAGAAAAAAGGACAAAGAAATTACTTTAAAATAGAGAGGAGGGGAAGGGAGAATTAACTCTAGTAAGAAAGCCAATGACAGAAAGCATCAAAGGTTTTATATAAATTTACAAATAAATCATTTAAAATTACTACTAAAGGGGGAAAATACAGTTCAAATAGATTTTTGAGTCAATACAGAGATTTTTATGAGGCTATGCTTTAAACTAAATAGCCCAATCCCACCTCATAAACATTCACTAGTAGTTCTAATATACGACAAATTTAAAATTATTGATAGAGGACAAACTACATCACATCCTCTATATAAACATGTTTCTTTTTAACAAAAGTTCATCATAAATTCTCTTTTGAAAACTGGGAGGCTTAAGTAGCATTACTGAGAAACAACTTTGTAGATGCTAATCCTAACATAATTGGGGCAAGGTGTATGTAGCTTGTTACAAAAAGATGTAAAAATATATACATTTGATTAGATTTTGTATTAATAGGTAAATCAGAGCCATCTTCTAAATGTTTATGTTATCGATGTTATATTGCTTTTAACCCATGGAAACTACTGCTATTTCTGTAGGGAAACTGATAGCAAAAAGGTATAACTGTGATAGAGCTGACATAACATTTCTTTCACCAAAAGGCTAATAAAAAGTAATTGTTTCCCACCTACATCTGTACCATAAACCTCAATAACCACATTTTTAAAAAAAAGGCAAAGCAACTCAGGGTTCCAGGCACTAGGATGGTAGGGAGGTGGAAAAATGGACTACCACTGAATGGGATATTTAAAGAACTGGACTAGATAAAACTACCCTTAAAGAAGGCATATAGGGAGTGAGAGGTCATCAATGAGAGAAGAGGGCTGTGGCCAAGAAACAGAAGATGGCAAAGACTTAAGTTAGATGGCAAAGAAAGAGGAGTTAAGGTAAATAGCAATGAAGGAAAGGGGATTAATTTAAAGAGAATGAAATAAAGAACAGGGTCAAAGGAGAAAATGGTACTAATTTCAAGAAAATGGAATATAATTAGGAAAAAGAAAAAAAACAAAACAAAACAAAGTAAACTTGCTCAGAAGAATGAAACAAAGAATAGGAGCCTCTGAGGAAAGAAGGCAAGTCCAGCAATCAAATTGCTAGTCATGAAGGACCACACAAAAGAGTATATTTTACTCTATCTAATGACTAGTAAGGAACCAATCTAATATACTATTCCAGCAGCATTCTAAGTATCATTCGAGACAGTTCTGCTTATGGAAACACCTGAGTAACTTTTACTACACTTGCTCTTGTGTTGTCAACAGACAACTAGATAAAGTACATGGAACAACTGCTCTTAGACACCGGACAAAAAACAGTGCATGACTGTGATGTCTGAGAGAAGTAAAACAAGGTAAGCCCTACATTTGCCCAGCCTTTCTGCTTGGAGGCACTTTCTGGAAAGAACAGGGAGAGGAATAGAACACAGAAGACTCATTAAGTTCAAGAGACAAAGACAAGAATTTGAGAGGTATATTGTTCTTGTTGGGTACTGTCATGTCGAATTTAACTCACAGTGGTCCCACGTGACAGAGCAGAACTGCCCAT